ATAGCTGCGGCAAATAGTATGCGGGTAAAAAAGTAAACTGTAGGCGCAAGTAAGCGATTTATTGCCTTTTCTTTATCGCTACTCCCTATTTTCCCGGAAGACCGTTCAAATTTATCGCTGGCGGACTTACAAAACTACCTGATTGTGTCGTAACATTCTGCGCGATGGCGTTCGACGTATGACTGTGGATTACATTTGGTTTTCTTCTTTACTGGGTACAAGTACGTGTTTATTACAGTGGTCGCAAAACACAGCTTCCAAATTTACTGAGGCGTTTTGTTTCGAGAAATTGTTCCAGGATTACGAAAGGCACCTGCCTTAGACTTTGTCCGCTTCGACCGGTTAAAAAAAAGCACTTTCGGATGGATGTACGAGTTGCTAAAACATTTCTGAATGATACAACTTGTAAATGAACTCGTAACGTTGACGACCAAGCTATGCACGCTTTTGCATTGAAAATGGCGGAAATACTTCCTCTTTTGTCTTTTGGCAGATTGACTTTCATTGTTTCGTCGATTCAGGTTATCAGGTCATCTGTGAACATTACGGTTCATGCATGTGTTTTAGAAAAGACGTACTTAGGCACTCATGCATGAGGGACAATGACTTAAAATATTTTGTCCACCCCAAGGCGGTATGCATTCGTGGTTTGACGAATAAAATACAGCTGAAGCGACGCTCTTTCTGATGTCTCAAGGCAATAGCCACCTCGATGTTTCTAGAATGGCTCCATCCGAAGAAACTCGGAGGAGATTCACCGTACAAAGGAAAGATTCTGCTGAATCAGTCGTGAGTGTGAACCTTGAGAGAGGTCAATTTTTCAACGTCTTCATATGCATCTTGAAATGGATATCTGCAGTTCTAATTTTCTTGGATGTATTATTCTGTATCGTGACCAGCAAGATTTGTTTGCTGGTTCTTGGGCATCAGTTTAAAAGTGTACAAGAAACTAGAACGAACACTACAACAGATTATTCAGCAGAGACAAACAAACAGGCCTTAGTGATGATGCTCGTGCTTACCCAAATGATACCTCTCGCGGCTTCTTTGCTTTACGCCATTTGGACAAGTCTGAGGAGAAAAAGGCGACCATGGCCAACAAAACAAGGATTTATTATCGTGAGTATACTTATAAATTCTAAACTGGAGCCGTTCCCCATAAATAAAATCCTTCTTTTTAGAGCTACATGCGATAGTAACATAACCGTAGTTGATGCAGTCATTACAGCTTGGCCACGCGAGTTCAATTTTTATCGAAATCAAGAAGACATTTCAAAGTATTTGCGTCCTTCAAAGTCCTTGCAAAAGGTGAAATTTCGCTTACTAGATATTTAAAAGAAAGTTTCTGACACGGCAATTCCAACCACTGTTTCAGAACAAATTCATAACTGAAAAACTATAAAAACAATTTGATTATATATCTTGAATGTAAAAAATTTCGATTGGTCGAAGGAAACCTTCTAATCTCATGATGCGCACTAACTGGCCATTAAACTGCCATTGCCGTTTTATCTTTGCCTGCGATTTCACGACATTTTTAGATTTTTAGATGTAACTATTTGGCATAGGCAAGGCACGTAATGATTGGCTTAAATGTAAATGATCCTTGTCTTCCACTTCCGTTATTTTATAAATTTATGAAAAAAAATTAGCAGAATTCATCTACAAGGATAGAGGCAATAATCTTCAAGATAAGCTTTTCCATCGCTCAGTTTAAATGAGATGTCAGAATAGAGAACACGAACGCTCTTATAATTGAACGACAATTATCTCGGTCATCTTGCATAAACATGATAAGCATCACGTTCTTCCAGAATTCAAAGTGAATTATTCATGCATTACAAGGTAATTTGGTTTAATCAACCGAGCTGATGTCACATTGACGAAAGGCTAGCTCTTGAAAGGTCAGCTTTACAAACTCTTTATGGTAGCCAAGTTACACCAGCAACTTAGGTTGATACAACCAAATTATCTTGTTATACCCCCACCGATGTATTACCGCAGTTTCTTTAGAAACGAACCCCATCATTTTTTGATGCATTAGCTTCACAAAAGTGGTTTAATTTGGTTTCATCCAACATTGAATTCAATGGTATACTTTCTACTCAGTTTCCCAATCTATTCTAGTGCAGCTAACCATTCGACAGTTCTACAATACTACATGTATCCAGGGACCTAATTTAACGGCCCAGTCTACCACAAGTCTCCTAAAGTTCAGTGATAGAGCATTCGAAGTACAAATCGGAAGTTCTTAAGTTCGACTCCTACCGGGAGCACACAGAGTTTTTTTTTTCTCCGACTACGCCTGTGTCATTCACTGAAAATGTCATCTTTATTAATTCTTATTTGGAGATGACTTGGGGGTTAGGTGTCAGTTGGAACGAAAGTTCTGTTCCTTTTACCTGCCATTCCTGTGGCGAACAAATTAAACTTAATCGTAAACTTAAACTTTTTAGCGCATCCGAAGTAATTCTTGGGGCTAAAAGGGTCGACTTGAAACCAAGCGGAAAATTACATAAGTCTTAACAAAAACGTCAATCAAAGTGTCCTATATGGGGCTCATTTGACATGTTACTATGTTGGGCATTGTTATCTCTTTGAGTTGTTTTCACTGAGTTGTCATAATATACCACGCCAGTCATTGAATACACCTAAGATCCCTTTGTTTCGCAAAAGGTCGAATATAAGAAAGTATGTCATTGGCTTAATAACAGTTAAAATACAAAGTAAATACAACTTTCAGTTAGTACAAATGAATTACTAAGGAGAAGCAGCGTTATCAGACACTTCACAAAATAACGATAGAGATTCGCACGGGCACACTGCTTGATCACCATTATATTAGATACGACGAATATATGAAGTTCATATATTTTGAGCTGCGGTTATAGATACATACGATGCATGATCCTCGCAGTAGAGAGCGCTATTTACGCAATAGCGAAAATCAGACATGAAATAAATCAGGCCTGTACGGGATACGTACATCATACATATCTTTAACCGCAGTTCAAAATATACGAACTTCATATATTCATCGTGTCTGATTTATCATCACTACGAATCAACTTAATGGCCTGCTCCCAGTTGGCTTGTTAACTCAATTGGTAGAGCGCTGCACTAGTATCTCAGAGGTCAGTGGTTTGAATCCCGTATAGGCCTGACTTTTTTTCAGGTCTGACTTTCGCTATTGCATAAATAGCGCTCTCAACTGCGAGGATCGTGCATCATACGCACCATTATATTGTTAAGGAGAGCTCAACATGGCGAAAATAAATCGCATTTTAACATGCTACATAAGCTTGTGATAGGAATTGTTTCGGGTTTTGTCGTATTGATTTTTACGACTTTGAAAAAACTCAAAAAATTTATTTTGCACAGTGACGGTTGCACAAAACGAATAAGTATATTAGGTAAAAACTGATATGTAAATTCCAACGGAAAAAAGTTTTTAAATAAAAGAAGAAAAACTAATTAACAATTCCTGTTCCATTCAATAGGCAAACGTCGAAAAAAAGCATTACAACACGTCGTGCAATGAATGAAACGAAGCCTGTCGCAGCTAAGCATTCGTATTCGTGTTCAGAAGTCACTATTGATCCCCTACCAAGGCAATATGTGGAATGGCTTATACATGAAAGCCATTTTCCCTTAAAAATGTCGTAATATGGAAGGAACGGGATTTCTAATATCTTACACAGAATCATCAGTGGAAGCTGTATGGATCTAAAGGAATCAATTAGTGCCGATGGGATATCGGACCCTTATTACCCGTCATGCACTTAAAAGCGTGAAATACTCTTTACCGATCAGTTTCCTATTCGTTTAATTTTGAAACTCCATGCAAGCAGAAGCAAACAAGAAAGAGCCTGTGTACAACCGCCCCTTACCCTCCCCCCCCCTTCCTTTCTCGATTTTCTTTTTGGGGGTAGAGGGGCGGCCAACAAGAAAATTTCAACCGATCCTCTGTTTTTGGTTTAATTTGTGACTCTGTGACAGACAATGATAAAGTAGAGAAGTATTTTGTTGACAGTTTTATGATTAGCACCCAGTGGCGGATCCAGACCTTGAGGTGAGGGGGGGCTCTTTGTTTGTGTGTGTTCACTTGTTGGCTTTTCTCTCCTCTGCTCTTATCGTTTTACCCAAAATAATGAGGGAGGGGAGAACCAGGACCCCCCAGTTCTCCTTCCTTAGATCCGCCACTGGCACCTCATTGCCTGTATTTAGTTCGTGAGATTATGTGCTTTTGTCGGGATGGGTCATATCTTTTTATATATCATTCCTGAGTCGTTCTATAGCTTTCTTTACCTAAAAAATTCACTTTATTACAGATTTTGGTTTCCGGAGTCTTAGAAGCAATTTCTCTAAATTATATCACCGTGGTAATGTTGACTGTGCTGCCAGTAAACCCCGACGTAGTTGTGCTGTTGACGTGCAGTTTAAGTGTGGCACCGGCGATATGGCAAGCGTTCAAATCGCGATCAAAGTGGCAAACTCATGAAGGGAAGTTGGATGTTGTTAAGTTTACTGCAGCTGCTGTCTCAGCCATAACTGGCATTGTCATGCTCTCTATAAAGGTATCTATTGGTACAATATCGTGTAGTTTGCACGGGATAAAAACGAGGATATGATAGCTCAATTAATGCAGATTAAAATAGGAAAATTTTTCTTCGTATTATGCCTATCTATGAGTTCTGACCGCTAAGAATGTATTCGCTGAATATCTCAGAAGGAAGTAGGTTTTATACTTCGTACCAGCTCTCTTTATCATTTATTTTTCGATTTTAGGTACCTGACTTATCTGGACAGATTGGCATTCCTACTTCCTTTGTTCTCCTTTCCATTGCTTGGTCACCGAAGCTTAGAAAACTCCAAATACAAAGCAAACAACACGGTCATTCCACCTTAAGATCTGGAGGACGCTCTGTTTCAGGTGTTTCTTTTTGTGACAATGATAGAGAGCGAGGTGCTGATAGGGGTCCTCCTGTTAAGATAAAAACAGCTCGAGGGAAAGCGGCTATTATATCTTCGCTGTGGAAACTTTTTCTTACACCTTTAACTGCAATGATGTTCGCAAAAAGTTATGATATTGTTCAGCTCGACAGCATCCATGACGCTTTTAACGCTATGACAACATCGAATCCAGCATTCACCTACTTCATGCTTCATATTTTTGCAAGCTTCTTTGGTTATCATTTTGGTTGGCTTAGCTGCTCTCTTTGCATACAACGTATTGGATACGCTCTTCCTTTAACGCTGGCAACACCGATTGCCCTCCTCATGACGCAAGTCGATGGGATATGCAATACAGACACGCTACCATTACCTTGTGCATCAGTAGACCGAGGCTACATTCTCGGGGCAGGACTCCTTCTGTGGTTATCACAGTTCATTGCAACCACTTATTACATATGGAAGAGTCATGGACAGATTATGGCAAAGGCATCTGACCTTCTATGGATTCCCTCGTACAATGGTACCTTATTTACATCCATTTTCATATATCATTGCAAACTGTAGCAGTGGAATTGAGAAAGCAATATCGATTTTTAATGCGTAGCTTTTATTTTCCTTTTTCCATTTGCTTACTCAAAACTCTCTCAAATAGTTTTGGATTCCATTCCTTACGCCATATGTAAGGGTCCTAGAGGTCCCTGATGGATTCGTAATATTTCCCTATCCTAGTTTCCAGTGTTTTGGCTCTGAATACGAATACCATGTTAGCCTCGCGTTGTCGAAAATTGAGCAGCTTGAGATGAACCAGCTGTGATTTGCTTTGATCTTTTGCAATTTACACCGGTTTTCTTTGCTTTTTTCCCAAATGAGTAGGTATATATCTATTTTAACAAGTGTTAGCTTGAACTCGCTAAACTCACAGTCTCTCAGATGTGGTAACTTCATTTGTCACATCATCACTTCAAACGCCTTAGGTGTCCTCTCTTGGAAACTTCTATCCGTTTGAGATACATTAATCCATTGTTTAATCGGAATATGCCTAAAATTTATGGCCGGACCACAAAATTGGGATTCGTTTCTAATTCATTTGGTGGTAAATATGATTATATCGACAAAGGAATGATTCTAGTTTATTCGAATCAGTGAAAGCCGAATACCATTTAGGACTTGAATTTTTTTACCAGGTGTCTGCCTTGAACAGTACTTATTGTTGAACAGACGAAATCAGTCGAGTGACGAAGAGTACGACGAACACAACCAGCTTTCAAACAATATCCACGTGTTCATATGCACGACAATGTACCACGAGGCTGACTTCGAAATGGAGCAACTCCTCCGGTCTATTCACGATGTCGACATGAACAAAACCAAATCAGGACGGCATTTTGAATCACACGTGTTTTTTGATGGATGTATTAGGGAAGACGTGCTTAACAGCTATATTTTGCAGCTGGTGTCATTGGTGGAAAAGACATTGGATGTGCGTATTACGGATTGTATCAAAATGAAAACCCCATATGGCATGCAGCTAAGGTGGAAACTTCCGGGTGGAATGGATTTCACTATCCACTTAAAGGATAATGCTAAGGTTTGATCACAGTTTCGCACTTTTCAGATTCGTTTCAAATCCAAAAGTAGAAAATTCCTGAAGTAATTAAATTACTGGAATGAAAATTACTGGAAATTGTTAGGAAATCAAGTTAGGAAATGAAAAAAGTTTTAAGAGGAAAAATTACAGTGTTACCTCTAAAAATAACATTTTCGTAGGCTGGCGATTGCTGCCAAGTTTTTTTCTTTTTTTCTTTGGTTGCCTGATGTTGGTGATTTTTTACCCAGTCGTTCATAAACTTACCTGGCCATCTGACCTTCCAAAAACCATTTTTTCCCTGTCCAGCTAACTTTAATTTATAAAGTCTCAACTTTTAATTTTACCCGTAAACCGTTCAGATGGTTTTCAATTGTGAGGTTTTCATTCCTGAGATTCCCTGAAGTGCGTGAGGCAGCCACCCTCTTAGATATCAACTAGCGTCTAATTGCTGAGTGGGCTGCCGCGAACGCCATACTACAGATAGACTCTCCTTCAATTTTACACAGGTGAAGAACAAGAAAAGATGGAGCCAAGTAATGTATATGTCCTACGTCCTCGACTTTAGACAAGAACTTCTTAAAGGTAACTATTTAACATATGCATTAAAAACTTCCAGTTCAGGATAGGAAAATACGTATTAGTTTGTGACAATATATACCGCATTTTATGTTATAGTGAAAGATGACCAGTGCTTCATCCTTACAACAGACGCTGATGTTAAGTTTACCCATCGGTCTGTTGAAGCGTTAATTGACCAGATCATCGAGGATCCCAAAACGGGTGCAGTGTGTGCTCGTACCCATCCAATGGGAGATGGGCCTGTCGTTTGGTATCAAATATTTGACTATGCCATCGGACACTGGTTTCAAAAGGTATGTATCTGTTAAAGGACCTAGACAGACTTCAGTTCCTATGGTTTTGCCATGAAATTGACTTAAATTTTTTTAAAAGATAGTAATAACAATGAAAAGGTCTCAAATGCATATCAAAAGGCATAATTTAAGAGAGGATATGAAAAAAAATTAAGAATATAAATAAAAGGCTCCTCAGTAACCCATTGATTAGCTGCGTCGATGTGCAAGTCAGATCTGGCGATAAAACACCTCCCGAACCAAAATAAAGACACCCAAACCTCGATCAAGTAAGAACCGAGTTGGGTTGACTAAGTTCACAACAGTTATCTTAAGATCATGGAAGGCAAGGTCCACAGACTTATTATGATTAAGAATGGAAATTCATTTGATTAGTATCATATATGCATCATTTTAAATGTTTATGATCTTGGTTTAGGTGGCCAATCATATGCTTGGATCAGTATTGTGTAGTCCCGGATGTTTCAGTTTGTACAGGTGCCGGGCTGTGCGAGATGTCCTTCCTACCTATTCTAGCGGCGTGGACCACGCCTTTGAGTTTCTTACGAAAGATATGGGTGAGTTTCTGTTTACATACACAGCAATGAGAAAAAAAATCAAACGTATCAACTTCATATGCTTAATCGATGCAGATAATTCACACCCGCTAAGAATTCACGCGTTCCTTTATCCATTAGGTGAAGACCGCTGGATGTGTACACTCATGATTCAAAAAGGATGGCGTCTGACATACTGCGCTGCAGCAGAAGACAGTACTTACTGCCCAGAGAGCTTTGACGAGTTTTACAAACAACGACGACGATGGACACCATCCACTTTAGCCAATCTTGTTCTGCTTGTCAGCGAGTGGAAGCGGATACTGAGAAACAACGAGCATATTTCTTTTCTATTTATTCTTTACCAAACTTTCCTCGTCTGATCCACAGTTATTGGGTAGGCTTAAGTAAAATAATTCTACTCTAAGCAATTTTGGATTCTTGATTATGGGAAATGAGACCAATCAAAGTTCTTGCACGGCCCTTAGCCTCAAGAGATGGAATTTTTTGTCCTCAAGCCCCTCAACAGTTAGTGTGACGTAACGTAAATTTATATCGAGACAGTAACGGTAAGATTTTTTCCCGGCAGACCATCTACAGTCATTCTGGTCATAGTTGGTGGAATGATGTTCTCAGGACTTGCCGTCGATGAGATTACTACCGTCATTCTCCTGAGCCTTTTGGTTCTTGTCTACATCTTAGCCTGCTTATTTACGTCCCAAAGCGTTCAACTCAAAGCGTCTAAGATACTAACCTTTGTTTTTGCCGTGATCATGTGCATTGTCATCATTGGTGTGACTGTTCAAATTACAAATGAGCTAAAAGAAAGAAGGGCTGAGCCCACAGCAGGACCAACATTAGAGCCAAACACAACGTCGTCACCAACACCAAAACCTTTAGAACACCATCTACCAGCTGGAGTGAGTAGCCTGTACTTGGCTGGGTTGTCTAGCATCTTTTTTGCCTCTGCTCTCTTGCATCCGAAGGAATTCACGTGTTTGTTCCATGGAATTTGGTATATCCTCTGCCTACCTTCAGGTTATCTTTTGTTAACGATATACTCGCTTTGCAATTTAACGGACAGGTCCTGGGGTAAGTGAATAAAAAGAGATCAGTATTATTCTCATAACTTTGTTCCTCAAAGAAAAGAAGAAAAACAATAAACGGACAACAAAGTAAATAATTGACAAATCTCTTTCCCCTCTTAAGTCAATTCGAGATAAATGCCTCACTCTGAGACTCGTGTTAAATTGATCATTACTAAGAAATAATATGGAAAAGACTCCACTTCTCCACGAATGTCTATTTTTTTTAAGCACTCGTTATCATCGGGCTGAGTAAGAAAAAGAAAATATTAAAACCTGCCTATCTCAAGTTGTTAGTGAATTACTTTTTTCGAAATTGAGACAGAAGGAGGTTAGTGCGTTTAATTGGTTCTAACCTTTATTATCATTACGAACAACAAAAGTAACCTACTCTGTATGTTTAGGAACACGAGAAGGAAAATCCACATCTTCAGGTGGAGACGACTGGTACAAGCCATTTTGGAATTGTTTAAAGAGAGTTTGTAAATGCTACCAAAGCCAAGAAGAGTCAGAGAAACCCCAACCAAAACATTATGGTAACAAGAGAGCAAGTATCATAGAAGGAAGAACCAATATCACAGTTGAACTTTCAAATTCCTCCAGCAAGGTACTCTCTGTATTCAGATTTATTTTGTGAATATGTTGCCTGTCTTTTATGTTTCTATTTATTATATGGCTGCTCTCACAAGGACTGGGAACTACCGAATTCACGAATTTGATTGGCTGAAATCAATATTGAAAGCGGTCTATATTTTCCTATCTAGACCGTTCTAGAAAAGAAAGGTACAAAGAGTATAGAAAATTGGCATATAAGACACAGCCATATACTGTACTGGTGACCTCGGTCAAGATTCTCGCATAGAGACCTCCGGCTCGGTTAATGAGAACTAAATATTACCTACACCATTTTTGCTATGCAGTATGCATGTACCCTTTACGGTCTGGCAAAAGATCAATCAGTTTTTTAGTTATTTGCATCTTTTTTTTTAATCACGAGTCTCCCCTGAAACAACAACTAACCTGACACATACAGAGACAGACTTCTTTGAGACAAAGTAGTGGTTGCTACTCAGGAAACCCAAGAGATTTATTTTTATATGTGTCTTTGCTAGGGCGCATAATGTAACCATACTAATCGATATTATCAACAGAATAACCCAATGATTTATTCAGACACAAAAATGGAAACAGATTATGAAATGAGCTCCAAACATTAGCCGCAGCACCTTTGTTTTACTAACTATGACCACAATAACATTGAAGCAGTAAATTTCTGCATTTACCTGCCTCAATTTTTATGTTAACCTCAGAACGAGGTGAATAAAACACGACTCAGCATTCTATTCGCTATTCTTTAATGCACACGTGAAGAAGGAGAGGTAAATTCCAAATGCTGAGGGAATTTAAGAGACACGAAAAATCGACGGAAGGAAGGTTTAGTTTATATAACGAATAAAACAATACACTACTAAAAAAAGGGGCATGAAACATGATATATACAGTGCGGCGTACATTTCTATGAAATGCGAAAACGATGGTATAGGAATGATAGGCGTAAAATAAAAAGAAAAAGCGTCAATTAAGAGGTGCAGAAATATAAAGCCTATCTGTAATGAAGACAAACTAAATATTCGGCAGAACACAAAGTTACAAAATTAACTTTTGATTCAATGCCTAACCGCAAGTAGAGTGAAATTAATAAAGGCTGAAAGTTTCTAAAGAAACCTTGGTGCTGCGTCAGTGGGAGTAAGAAGGTAATTAGGTAATATCAACTAGGTTGAAATTGTATATTGTCCAACGTTACGAATAAAGAAGCTGACGTTTCATCGCGCACGATGCAAAACTTGTCCTTTCATTCGCAACGCCGAGAAAAAATCGGGACTCAAGCGATCCATTACGATCACCGATCACTTCACGTGCAACTCCGCCAATGTAATCTATTGCATAACTTGCACTTATTGCAAAAAGTTATACATCGGCGAAACAGGAAGACGATTAGGTGGCCGATTTCGAGAACACCTTCGCGACGTAGAAAGAAACGATAAGGACGCATCAAAACCAGTCGCTAGACACTTTAATTTACCTAATCATTCTAAACAACATATGGCAATCTGCGGTCTTTCCTTACATTTAGGCAACACAGAAAGCCGCAAAACTCTTGAACAAAAGTTTATCTTTCAAATCGGCACTCTCAATCCCACAGGTATCAACGAACGCTTTTCATTCCACTTATTTATTCGTGTTTTTCTCGTCGCCATGTTCCCACCAATGGCTTAGCTCCGCTTTCTGAATATACTCCCACATACAACCCACAATTCCTCCATTCGCTCTGACGAATTCGAAGGGCTAACGCTCGAAACGTCAGCTTTTTTATTCGTTACGGTGGCCAATTTACAATTTCAACTTAGTTGATATAACCAAATTACTCAAGTAAAGTGATTTTGCTGATTTATTCAGTTGGAGAAAATTTTGCGAAAGAAACTTCTAAGGCTAGGGCGTTTCTTTACGGGAAATACGGTATGACAAAAATAGTAAAAAAGGGGGTTCGTCTGTTTTAAATAATTTAAGCTAGATTTCTTTTCGTTTCACTAGATATATTAAGTATTTTTATTGATTTCAGTTAAGAGGGCAATCAGATCCAAATGCGAACACAGGGGCAGCTCTTGAGACACAGGAATGCGTGTCTAAGAAAGACAAAACAAACGTTTCTCGGCTTTCAGTCCCTGCAAAAAGCAAGAAGACATCGACAGACAGCTCGCAGTTTGAGAGCCACGAACATAAATCAGGTTTTGAAGATGAATGTGCTCAAAGCGTAAGAGAGATCTCTAAAGATGTTCTATATTCTGCCGCCGAGATCCCAAGAAAAAAACTAGTTAGAACATCAAAAAGTTCGACGTCAAAAGGTGATGCAATGAATCCTGATGGAAATTCTGCGTTCAACCAAAAGCAACCCGGCCAATATTCCGAGCCAACTACTAGTTTAACTAAAGATATCAAAGATGAAGTTTTAGCATCAACTTCTAATTCGCAGACAGGAATTGAAGAAAATATCAGAAACGAAAATGAAATCTCTGTCCAAGAAGCCTGGGGTGATGATCGTGATGGAAGGAGGGCATCTATAAATGAGGAAGAGGATTTTAAAAGAAAGTCTCAGGGGCACAATGAGTTCAATCGTTTCTCTGAGGATTTTCCAACTTGCTTGACTAAAACACCGCCGTCTCGAGCTAATCTCACGGGCATATCAGTCTCAAGAAATCCATCCAAACGTGTCCCCCCTGCTATCCCAAGGGAAATACTTCCAAAACCCACCGCAAATTCACAGATCAATCAAACATGCATACCTCAGAATAGCCAAAACGACTCCCCTTTTATGTTTTCCACACAAATTGAGTCGACGCAATCAGTTACTGCAGACAGCTCAGAATATCAGTTGGAGATAAATTCACAATCTCATGCATTTCAAGCACAACTTCCAGCTCCAACAAAAGGTATGTAGATATTGTAAGAGTAAAAAGTGCTAGGGCAGTTCCATTTTTGCAAGGTAATGCAGTGTTTTTGTTTTTGTTTTTGTTTTTGTTTTTACCTTTAATAATGTTGCACCGCCAAACGGCTCGATGCGACGATTTATATGGAGAATTTGAATTTGCGAGATGTCTGACGGGCTCAAGGACTCACTGTGTAAGCTAAAGCTCTTAGTTAGTAGAGCAAACTAACGAAATTAATGGGAAAGAATACGACTACCATTTTCTCGCCATTTGTGTGTTAGTGCGGTATATGATTTCTACCATGTTTCTTCTCCTTTCTTTCTCTCTCAGACGAAAGTAGTCGCCCTGGGTCAGCGCTTGAGAACGTTTCTGACTCTGATCCAAATTCTCCAGTAGAGGATTGGATACCTGACGATTTGAAGGTAAAAGTCATTTCTTTATTAATTTTCCTTGTATAGTTCTTTTATCATAGTGAATTGTCATTCCAGATCTTTTTTGTTTTCCTCCACATAGCTGGAGTCATGTATATCATCATCAAATTCCTGATCGTTCAGCTGAAGTTGTTCCGAGTAAAACTCAGTCCATCCTTATCAAAACAGGAAACATTTGCGTCTTAGTCTCTCAAACTTTGTGTTTTTATGAATCACTTAGTGTTATTTAATAAGATGAGACAAAAACATGGACAACCTGTTGAGATAACAAAGGTAATTCTGATGATACCTCACAACTGCTGCCCAACTTCAAAATTACTAGTGTACTGTGCTGTGTAGACATTGTTGTATTTTCCTCCATATGATTACAGGATTATGCAACGAACTTTCGCGAAAATGGATATGAGAAAGCAAAGTTTATTGCTGGAATGAACGACAAGGTAAGTTGCAAGATCTCAAAAAAACAAACAAACAAACAAACAAACAAATAAAAGAAAAAAACAACAAACAAATAATGATATGCTCTTTCTGTTTTCCTTGGTTCCTTCAGATTAATATGCTGACAGTTAAGGTCGTGATTATAGAATCAAACAGATTTCTCGTCATTTGGTGTTCGTACTGAGTTTCTATCTCGTTTGGGCCAATAAAGCAGAAAATGACAGTATTTCCGAGATCAGCAGTTGGTAGTTTTAATCATTTGTTAAAATCAGTGGCTACAACTCACGATTACTGTGCTCGCTGTTTATTACATAAAGTGCTCCATATTTTCCTATGTATTGCATGCAACGGTATTTCTTTCGTTTCTGTGGCGCATTTTTCGTTTTATTCGAATATAATTATCCCAAGGACCACAGGTTTTCCTGCCAGACGTTTCTACAGCCCTTTTGCTTCATGTGCAACAATGATTAAGTTGTGTTATTTATTAATCTTTCTAGGACCTTGAAAGCATTGGTATACAAAATATAGGACATCGACAGAAACTGTTGAGAAAAATCAAGAAAATTCCACGTATTGACATCGAAGAAAACATACCAGTAAGTTTCTCATCTTTTTAAAGGTAAGTAATGCCTTTAAACCCTCCTTTATTGATAAATCGTGCTTTTGCTCTGCAAAACTTGTTCAGGCCATGGCCTAACCACCAAGCCCGCATTTCTGTCCCCCAATCTTTGATTGATTTGATTTTTCAAACTCACGTTTCTTAACAGGAAAACGTAGAGAGTTGGTTGCAAGAACACGGTCTCGAAGAATACTGGCCCTCGTTCAAGGACAACTGTTATGCAGAACCGAGCGACTTGGTGGATTTAAAGAACATGAGCAAAGACAGGCTTAAGGAAGTATTGCTCATCCAAAAACCGGGCCATTTAAACCGACTGAAATCTCTTATTAACAAATTGCAGTATCCTAATCGAGGTACGTAAACCACCGAAGGATGAATTATGATCTAGAAGAGGTCGTTGAACTTTTATACGGTACACAAGGCTATTTTTTTCTGTACGGTATCATATTCCCGGAATAAAGACACACTCTAGCCCACGAGTTCTGATGTTCTCTTGAATACAATGATCTTTTCACTTCTCATCATTTCCGCTGACTGGACATGGAACTCTCTGCCATTTTAGTCTTGGTCTCTTCTGAATAGTTCACATTTCAGTGAGATTGCTTTACAAACCATAGATTATTCCACCCGTCATGAATAGTTATACATAAAAATTTAAACCTTCCATTCAACAAGCTAGTAACCTAACGTGTAAATGGGCTAAAATTCAAGATTGGATACTTTTATTCTCGTTTGGTATTGTTTAGCATCCTGGCTTCTTGCCTGTGTCATGACAAAAAAAAAAAGGTGCTCCTAAACCGCAATTCTGGACTCAAATAATTATTCACAATATCAGGTGAAAAAATTCTGAAATCGTCAAACGGGTAGTAATGAGATTCTATAAGGTTTCGCTAAGATACTTCTTATTCAAATCGTCTCTCAGTGTTGCCACTGACTGATAATTATTGCAAAGGGTTTAAGATGATTAATTTATCTATGACATCCATTTTGAAATCACTGGTGATCCTTGCAATCTGATTAGCTCTCATCAGTGCGATTTACACCCGAATTGCATCATCTTTTGTTCTAAATCGTATCCTTTTTCCAGCCAATGAAGAAGCCTTGTTAAAACAAGACAACTACTTCACTGTTTTATCGTGCATATTCCTGAACTGCACTTGTAAAGACAAGAGCGCATAAAACTATTGTCTGTAGGTATGACGTCACTTCTACATTTATAACATCTATTGTCTGTAGGTATGACGTAAGAGAATGTCTAATAATCAGATTTCAAGGCTTGTTTAAAATAACAAATCAAATTGCAGGAAAATGAAAGACAATCTTTTTACAAACCAGCTCAGTACTGGATCAATAAAGTGTTTGTACTAACTAGAAAACGCTGTATTTGAGCAATTGAATTTCATTGATAGCGGAATGGATATAGTTAACTGGTAATTAGGCTTTGTGCAATGAAAGTTTGTTCTGAAATTATACTTGTGCTTTCAAATCGAACGAGCGCGCAGTGCGAAGTTGATTTGAAATCATGCGAAAGTGTGATTTCAGAACAAACTTCTCTCCACTCGATTCAGTTACCACTATTAATGCTTTCTTACTCATTTCAGGCCAAAAGAAAATTAGGCGCACAAGGAACGAGCTGGGTCGTCTTCCATTAAAGTTGCTTGATTTGGATAATTCAGACGAAGGCGATGAATACAACTTCTGGAATGATTTACGCCAAGAATGCCTAATTCCTGAGATGAGTGCTTTTGATCAGACGGCTGAGCTTAAAGAAAAACTCGTGGAACTAAGAAATACAACTTTGCTCGTTTTTGGCGTCAGTAATGCCTTGTGGATGATAATAATACTGACGCTGGTCCGGCACAAAGATCTCAAAATCTTAGGTGTGGATGTCATCGGACTTGGTTTTTTAACCATTTATGGAGGGATATTCGCTTTACAATTTTTAGCTCTTTTGTGCCATCGCTTTAAAACACTTATTCATATTTTAGCGCGCGCACCTTGGAAGATTAATATTAATCGTATTACCCCAGCTGAATCTTCACGAAGTCAGGAAACATCATGAGTATCATTGAAACAAACTGAATTGTGAGGCAGATGCAATATTATCAACTTCAGTTAGAGGTTAAGGGCTGTTTCGTCTCAGCCAGTTTACCCTGTTGGTCTGCTAATAATTCTAATTGAATAAAGCAGCTCTTTCCCTGAAATTTCCCGAAAGGAAGAGAACGCAAAAGGACATTATCTCTTTTGGCTTTCATTAATCATTTTCAGTAAGAGTTAAAATAGAATCTTTTGAAATTTACTACATTACTCACTTCTTCATTGAATGACATCCCACAAAATAGTTACCGAGGACCTCCCCACACACGCTAGTTTAGCTACTCACATGGAGCCTCCCTTGGTTTTTTTTTTTCTTTTCTTTTTTTTTTTTTTGCTACTTATAAGAATTCTAAAATGATCGCAACTAGAAAAGACGCTTCTCTTGACCATCGTATTATGATGAACCACGATATGAAGGGTCAGAATCAAATCAGGTTCGACTGTGAACTAGTTTCGTCAGGCGATAAATGATTACCGTTAAAAGGATTTTAAAAGGTAATGCTATCAATAAAAACGTCGCCTTTGAGACGTATGGAATATTTTGTGCACACACTGTACAAACATTCAAAAACCTTGAGGAAACTTAACTTGACAATACAATCTTTTCAATGAACAAGAGAATTGACGCAATCATCCCGATCAAAGGTTCACGTACAAAATTTTGATTACACCTTTTACGATAAAAGTGGAGAAATTTCGGAGATTTGATTGGATGAAAGTATCACTATTTCAGAGTAATAACAGCAAAATGGATGATACAACGAGATCATCATAACAACATTCAAGACAACAACTCTTTCTGCTTTTGTTTTCAAAAAAATTGCTTAGTGACGTTCCTGTTGCCGTTGCTGTCGTGGTTTTCTTAAACTCCATATTGTCAAGTAAGAAGCTAAAGAAATGGACGAATGTCTCTCGCGATTCTTTGCCGAAATTCGCAAAAGTGATGGCTCCAACTAAGAGCCATACAGCGACTCCAGCCTGCCAAACAATAGTCCACCACTTTCACGGCTGTCTGGAGGCGGTAAATTACGGAGCTGGCGTTGGTGTTTTTTCTACAAAGCACAAATTAAACACTGGGGGAAGCTTGCCCGTATCATATCTTAATTCGTGGTTTCGTTTCACCGCCGCAGAGACTGCAAAACCGCAATTTAAAAAATGTCTTTCATTGAACTATTTCGTTGAGTACTTGGTTCACAAAAAGCTGTCAATTTTTTTTTTTCTTTCATTTACGTTAAAAGACTGTTACAATGTAGACGACTGTGTTTGTTTTTTCTAACTTAACGAACTAATAAAGTCTCTTGTGTGTTACCGAAACTTTCTTGGCTTCTCGGTTATAAACAAATAATAGCATGACCGCCACGTGTTATTTTGCAATAATACCGGCTTGTAAATTTTCCAAATACCACTTACTGCTTCGCGATTCGTGGTATTTTGGACAGGTTTGAAATATTACTTGCGGCGTTATCGCCAAATACCACTAAAAGTCATACTAACACCTGTAAAATTTCCATAGATAAAACAAAACCTTTCTTAATAAATGTTTATGTACCTCACGTTTAGCTAGCTCGATCGGAAACACTGTGACGTGTTCCGTTTTGCGTGACGTGTCAAGAAGATCCGGCTGCATATCCAATGAACTATTTATAGCACCTTAGTATGCTAATACTGGTGTGTTTTGGCGCACTGTCATTGGTGTATTTTGATCCATATTAACATTTCGACGATATTGTTCCCTTTGTTACCGATCGGCTCGTGTGTATTTTGATAGTGGGCATCCATACTATTAGGAATTTCGATTGCGTTATCTCTGTTCTGTTGTAGGTGGTTTGCAACCAATCTCTAGAGACACAGGTAACAATGGTGAAAGGAACAAATGCTGGTGGACGAACAAAAAAAGCTAATGAGATATCCATTGTTTACGTGCACCAACTTGGCGGCCATGACGTAACGCGCAAACCACCTGTAGGATGAAGTCTTATTTGGTTGGCCCTTTTTTTAACCCTACTTGTATACCAGTGACGGTCAGGATCAATTCTCGGTATTCAGCTGACGTCATTAGCTTATGCAAATTAGAATTCCGCCATGTTGGTGCCCATGCGAGGTGTGAAATTGAAGGGAAATCTATGCCATCTCTAAGCGCTCGCGTTCAAAGTCTTCAAATAATTCATCTTACTAGTGGATATTTCCGAAGAAAGCGACCCAAAATCACACGATGAGGTACCAGTACTTTCATCCTACGTAGATAACCTCGAAAGTCACGTCCGAGAGCGCTATTTGAAAAAAATTTCTGTGGTTGGCGTAGATCCAGCGACCATACCGAGCGAGCAGTTCAGCTCGGAATGTTTGCCTCCTATAGAAGTCTCGGACTTGCTGTCCTATTTAGTTTTGGAGACAAGCTATTACACAAACAAGCAGTTCAAGGCCTTCAAAAGTTTGGAGGCGTACAATCAGATNGACCAGAAAAAAAAAAAACAACAAGCGCGCGCGGAAAACTAGCCGATCTATGCATTTGCTCACGTCAGCAGCGTACACCCATAGGCAAATGGTGCACGCTGAATTGACCAATCAGAGCGCGCGCTTTACTTGGGTTATGTTAGAAAACTATTTGATATCGCAAATACTAATACCCTCTCGATCACTATTAAGACTTAAAAAACATACGATACGTGGTACACATGTAAAAACCGGTTTTCTTCTCTTCTCTTTGGAATAAGCACTACGGAAAACATTGCATGTATTTCCCCCTAGAGCACCTCTTAACGATAAAGTTAGACATTTTATCCTATCCACTGATCTTCTGGGTGATAATAGTCCTGAGAAGGACTGCTGTCGGTAGTATCGACTGACGTTCTTACAACCTGAGCGGAAGTCATCGTCAAAATCAAAACATTCCTTCTTAGGACTACTCTCACTCTGATGACCAGACCACACGCTCAGATGTTATACTTTGGCTCAAGCAATTAACTGTAGAACTTAGAGATTTGATTGACTCATAACTTTCCAATGTAAATTGTTTCATGTGTGGTTCATAATCTAATACTATGATTTGACGTCTCATTTTATGTGGGAGATCATACTAATTTTTCTTGCTTTCAGCGCTTCTCAGTTATGCCTGCGATATTTTTTTTTTCACGGACGTTTATGAACTTCTTTAATTTTGAAAACATATCTAAAATCTCGAAGAGTGTCTTAGCCTCAAGTAATAATGATTTATGAAATTACGAAGTTTCATGACGCAATGATCTTAATCAGCGTTCGAGGAACTTAACTCCGATTGAATAAGGAAAATTTTGGTTCTTCAAAGGACTGATCATGATCCCAAGTGCATTCTTTCACGATGGAACGGAAATACCAGTGGCCATGCATAACGCAGACATCCAGACAGTATCCTTTGCCCATTTATAAGCATTGTAAATAGCTAAGATATCTGTGAACTTCAAGGTCGGCACAAACGAGGGGACTAGTCCCTGCAACTAGTTCCCTGAAGAGTTTACACGAAGGGACTGGTCGCAGGGACTGGTGGCAGGGACTAGTCCCTTGTAGCAGGAGTCCCTCACTCTACTTGTAGTGTTTATACGCACAGGAATAAGGCCAAAATTGGGGAAGAACAGTATCATTCTTAAATGATGCAGCTTTCTTAAGAAACCAAAATTATCAAAATAGCAATGCAGCATTGAAATAAATCAGTTCAGTACAAACTGCAGATTGTTCAATGAAATTTGATTAACACCAACCGTTTTTTGAGGAACAATTCGCAGAGACTTGTCCCTAAAATTCAAACCAGTTTGAATCCGTGGGACTAGTCGCAAGGGCCAAATTTTAGTCCGTGCGACTAGATGTTGTGGCAAAAATGGCTAGTTCACACGATCGGACTTGTCCAGCGACTCGTTACAGTGACTAGGCCTGGCCACAAGTTGCTCGGCAACTTATCGGCAACTTTTGAGATTTTCGGCAACCTTTAGAATTTTAAACAACAACAAACATATGAAACATATGTATGAACTGCGGTTATGAAATGCGGTTATGAACTGCGGTTATGTGCACGATCCTTCGCAGTAAAGCACTATTTGAGCAATAGTGAAAATCAGACCTGAAAAAAATTTCAGGCCTGTACGGGACTCGAGCCACTGACCTCTGCGATACCAGTGCAGCGCTCTACCAATTGAGCTAACAAGCCAACTGAGAGCAGGCCATTAAATTAATTCGACATGAACCCGTAGATGATAAATCAAACAACAACAAACATATGAAACATATGTATGAACTGCGGTTATGAAACGTATATGTGCACGATCCTTCGCAGTAAAGCACTATTTGAGCAATAGTGAAAATCAGACCTGAAAAAAATTTCAGGCCTGTACGGGACTCGAACCACTGACCTCTGCGATACTAGTGCAGCGCTCTACCAATTGAGCTAACAAGCCAACTGGGAGCAGGCCATCAAATTAATTCGACATAAACCCGTAGATGATAAATCAAACAACAACAAACATATGAAACATATGTATGAACTGCGGTTATGAAACGTATATGTGCACGATCCTTCGCAGTAAAGCACTATTTGAGCAATAGTGAAAATCAGACCTGAAAAAAATTTCAGGCCTGTACGGGACTCGAGCCACTGACCTCTGCGATACCAGTGCAGCGCTCTACCAATTGAGCTAACAAGCCAACTGNTTGTGGCAAAAATGGCTAGTTCACACGATCGGACTTGTCCAGTGACTCGTTACAGTGACTAGGCCTGGTCACAAGTTGCTCGGCAACTTATCGGCAACTTTTGAGATTTTCGGCAACCTTTAGAATTTTGGCAACTTTTAGAATTTTCGGCAACTTAGGGCTTTTTGAGGTTCTTTGAAGCCACTTTCTTCCCGTTTTGAGCCACATTGGTCAGTTTTTGATAGACATTTATTCAATTTATTCTAAAATACTTTAATAAGGCCCCCACTCCTCATGGGTTGACTTTTGTGATGCCTTATCACGAGGTCAGTGGTATCAGGTTTCACATTTTTCAAGATGGCGGACAATTACAGTGACTATTTTTTCATCAAGTGAAATGGAAAGAACCTCTCATATTATCATTGGACTTTGACAAATAAAGTTTTGATAAGAAGGAATGTGCGAATTTTTAATCTTTAACACCCAAAAAAGGTACGAAAAGCAGAAAAATTTTGCCAACTTTTCGGCAACTTTTTGGAAATTCAGCAAGTTTTTGGCAACTTTTTTAAAAAAATAGCAACTTTTTGATAAATTTTAAACTTTTTTATCGGCAACTTTTTTGGGGAATCATTGGCAACTTGTGGCTAGGCCTATCCATTGAGCTAACAGCCTCCCGGTTAGCTCAATGGATAGAGCGCTGGACTATTGTGCGGGAGGTCGAGGGTTCGAGCCCCTGCCGGACCAACACTCAGGGTCTTAAAATAATTGAGAAGGATTTGCTACCTCTCTTTAAAATCAAGAAATGGTTAGACATTCTAGTCTTCTCGGATAGGGACGAATAAATGGAGGTCCAGTCTCCTGCAGGGTTGGGG